ATTTAAATCACCTTACACCAATTACATCAAAATATCAATAAAATCCAGCAGCCTGGAAGGTAGGTTCCCTTTGACTTTCAAAAAGAGGCTCTCCCCCTCAAAAAGGAAGAAGTGCTTGCTGAGAGGCAGTCAGGAAGGAAATGCATCCGTGATGAGGTCACATGGGAAGAGATGGCGGTGGGATGAGGGAAGTGATACACCAAGGCATTCTCCTGTGGAAAAAGGAGAGCCGAGAAGGGAGTTCAGGACCCAGGTACCCAGGTGCTTCTGCTGTCACCCCCTCTCTGCCTCCCTTTGCTGAGTGGATCATCCCCTCCTGGCCTTGCCCTCACTCCACAGAGAGCACATGAGGATTAACAAGCCACAGTGGGGAGCGTCACAGAACTGTGTAAAAGAGAGTGCGAGGGAAAATGGAGTGTGACTTTGCTTGTGAATCTTAGACATAGCATGCTTCTTACTTTAAAGGTAACTTTGATGATCAATATCAATTAACCAAGGCTTATAAGAGACTTTCAGAAACCACTGGAGTCCCAATCCCACGTCCCAGTGACATCTCTTAGACTTGTAACCTAAGGACTGGAAGAGATCTTTTAGCTCATCCACTTTGGCCTCCCATTTAACACTCAAATTCCCCATCCTAAGAAATGGTTGTGCCGTGTGCAGCCAAGCCCAGTGGAAGGAGCAGGGCTTCCGGAATCCGACAAACCTAGAGCAGATCCTAGCTCTTCCACCCGTTGTCTCTTTGACCCAGAACAAATTACCCAGTGTCACCATGCTTTCATTTTCTCATTTGAAATATTTAAATCACCTTACACCAATTACATCAAAATATCAATAAAATCCAGCAGCCTGGAAGGTAGGTTCCCTTTGACTTTCAAAAAGAGGCCCTCCTCCTCAAAAAGGAAGAAGTGCTTGCTGAGAGGCGGTCAGGAAGGAAATGCATCCATGATGAGGTCACGTGGGGAGAGATGGCGGTGGGATGAGGGAAGTGATACACCAAGGCATTCTCCTGTGGAAAAAGGAGAGCCGAGAAGGGAGTTCAGGACCCAGGTACCCAGGTGCTTCTGCTGTCACCCCCTCTCTGCCTCCCTTTGCTGAGTGGATCATCCCCTCCTGGCCTTGCCCTCACTCCACAGAGAGCACATGAGGATTAACAAGCCACAGTGGGGAGCGTCACAGAACTGTGTAAAAGAGAGTGCGAGGGAAAATGGAGTGTGACTTTGCTTGTGAATCTTAGACATAGCATGCTTCTTACTTTAAAGGTAACTTTGATGATCAATATCAATTAACCAAGGCTTATAGGAGACTTTCAGAAACCACTGGAGTCCCAATCCCGCGTCCCAGTGACATCTCTTAGACTTGTAACCTGAGGACTGGAAGAGATCTTTTAGCTCATCCACTTTGGCCTCCCATTTAACACTCAAATTCCCCATCCTAAGAAATGGTTGTGCCGTGTGCAGCCAAGCCCAGTGGAAGGAGCAGGGCTTCCGGAATCCGACAAACCTAGAGCAGATCCTAGCTCTTCCACCCGTTGTCTCTTTGACCCAGAACAAATTACCCAGTGTCACCATGCTTTCATTTTCTCATCTGCACACCATGAACAATACCAACATTGCAGAGTTGTGAGAATTAGAAATGACATTGTTAAAAGATGCTAGCCAACCACAAGGAAGAGTTGAGTCACAAGCCTTAGATTCTGTCCACACGAAAGAAGCCTGGGACTGTGTCCATAGCTCCTTTGACCATTCTGATGCCCTACAAATACATTTCACAGTCTTTCCTGCTCTTTACCATCCTACATGGGAATATGAGCACTACTAGCTCTGTGAGGAAACCTGCGTCATAAAAACTATGTTGTCAGATATTGAATTGAAAAGTTGCCTCTATGATTGTAGTATACTTGATTGCATAAGTAGAGGTGTGGAGAGGAGTAATCGGGTATGAAACAGGAAATAAAGTGGGAAATGGTAAAAGGGGCCAGAACCTGTGGAGCTCCATTGGCCATTGTAAGGATTTTGAGTTTTATTACCAGTAATAATGAGTTCATTAAAGCATATTAAGCACATGACCTGATTCATGGGTTTTAGAAGCTCGTTCCTGACTTCTCTGTGGAGAATTGACTGTAGAGTGGAAACAGGAAGGGCATCTAGGTTATTGCCTTGCAATCATGGCTACAACTAATAAAATGGCAGGGATGGAGGGAAATAGACAGGTTTGAGATATAGTTTGAAAGTAGAGTTTGAAAGACCTCCCGTGGAAACAGCAGAGGCTTGCTGATGGATTGGCTATGAGAGAAAGTGAGGCAAGAAGGATGACTCCTAGGTTTTTTATTTAAGAGGATGGTTGGTGGTGCTATTTGCTGAGATGAAGAAAAGTGGAGGAGGAATGAATTTGGCGGGGGTCGAGGGGGAAGGTCATGAGTTTTGTTTGGATGAGTTAAGTTTGAAACCAGACATCTGAGTGGATTTGCCAAGTGTGTTGGACAGACTAATTCGGTACTCAGGGCTGAAGATATAAGTTGGGCAGTCATCAGCATATAGGTGGCATTTTTAGCCAAAGGACTAAATAAGTTCACTTAGGGGAAAAAATTAGTTAATTTTTTAATTTAAATTTTAAGAAGTTTTAAATTTTAAAAATTGTTAGAAAAAAAGAAGTGGGAGAAATAAACCACAGAGCACAGTGACATTTAAAAGCTCAGCAGAGGAAGAAGAGGCAGAAGAAGAGACTGAGAGAGAAGCTGAGAAAGTGTGATGTTATGGGAGCCAAGAGAAGAAAGTGTTCCAGGAAAGAGAGTTGTCAACGTGGGTTGGCTTGAATGCAACTTGAGTCATAAAGTAAGCTGAGGACAGAGGCATACACTACAGGATTTGGTGGGGCTAGTTGGTGACCTTGAAAATACAATATGCTGTGGTTCTCAACCTTCCTAATGCCGCGACCCTTTAATACAGTTCCTCATGTTGTGGTGACCCCCAACCATAAAATTATTTTCGTTGCTACTTCATAACTGTAATTTTGCTACTGTTATGAATCGTCATGTAAATATCTGATATGCAGGATGTATTTTCATTGTTCGTGACCCACAGGTTGAGAACTCCACTAAGTGGAATGATGGAGTTAGATGTCGGAATGGGATGGTTGAGAAGGAACAGGAGTTGATAAATTGATGACAGGGAGGTTTTGCTGAAAAGGAGAACAGAGAAATGGAGAGGTAGCTAGAGAGGATGCCAATTTAAGGTTTTGTTTTATTTCATTGTGTTTTAAATAGAAAAGTCTGATGCATATTTAAATGCCAGTGGGAGTAAAGTAGGAGAGAGAGAGAGAGAGAGAGAGAGAGAGAGAGAGAGAGAAGTAGATGATGCAGGGAAGAAAGTAGACAAAGGCAGGATCAGAGTCCTTGAGAAAAGAGACCCAGAGCTCAGTGGAAGCCATGGCCTCAGAAAGGCCTCCATGGAAACAGCAGGCAGTAATGGAATGTGGGAAATCAGTGGGTTTGGTGATGGCAAGGTGAGTGACCCTGTCAGCTTACTTACATTTTCTCATGAACTATGGCTTCAGGTCATCTTTTGAGGATGAGCGAGGACTTCTGAATCCTGAGTCCAAGTGCACTATGTCTTTTACTTACAGTTTGGCACACTTGGAAAGAATGAAAATGACAACCCCTTTTGTATAACATTTTAAAGAGCTATAAATGATAAAGCAATTCATGTTTATTCTTTCATTTGATATTTTATCCTGCCTTAGTCAAGTTCCCAACAGAGAATAGAATTCGCATGGTTTGTTTAATTGAAGACACATAGATGAAGGAGCTATTTACAGAGATAAAGTAGAATTAACAGATGTTGCGCCCAGAGACTATCAACAGTCACAAGTCATTGCTACCCTCAGGACCACAGGGCCAAGGGCCAAGGAGATGAGCAGGGTTAGATCCCAGGGGAAGCAGAAGTCACGAGGGGCCAACCAGTGGGATGGTTCATGGGAGAGACCTGCAGCTCCTTTCAGGAAAGTGGTGCAGAGCAGAGAAGGGAGGGCAAAGACATGGCCTGACTTCTCTTCTCCCTTCTCTTGCTGATGCTTCCTCATGGCTGAGCACAGCTGGAAGCTAGCTGGCACTGGTGATGCAGTCCATGGTGAAGGACAGAGAGCAGGTCTGGCATCAAAAGACCAGCATAGTCCCTAGTACTTCATGCCATCACTATTGAAAAGATTTTGAAAAGCCCTCCAAGAGAAATCTTTATACCCAATGCCAGTGTATAGAATGCATCTTATTATTTGATATCAGCTGAGCTTTGGAAAACCTAGCTAACCAAGCTTTTGGATACTTGTAACTCACCCATAATCTCCAAATGTAATATGTATAGAATGCATCTTATTATTTGACATCAGCTGGGCTTTGAAAAACCTAGCTAACCAAGCTTTTGGATATAAAGCATCATGGATACTTGTAACTCACCCATAATCTCCAAATGTAATGTTTCCCCATAGTCTTCCTCCTTTATTGTCATGCAGAGGCAGCCTGCCCATAAAACTAGGGGAGCTTTTTTCAGAGCTCCTCCACGCCATGGGAGAGCCCTCGACATGTATTCAGATGATCATGTTTTGGCCAAGTTGCAAAAGTAAGGCATTTTAACTGAAATCTATTAACACTATACTTTTTTGACTGTGGCCCTAGAAAGGACCCGCCATCATATGCACTTTGGGCCCCACAAAACCTGGATCTGCTTCTGCTTTCGGGTGCACTGGTGCAAATTTTATCCCTTTTCCAAGATTCCACCACCTCCCAGTGGGTGGTTAACGGGCATCAAAATGGACATTTTGCGAAGGGGAGAATACGGCAGGAGGATAAGAAAAGCAAAGCAGGGAGGGAGTGTGGCACCAGAGGCAGTGGGAGAAAAGCAGTGTGCCTGGAGACGCCCGTTGGGCCCGCACCATCGTGTAATGGAGGGTGGTCGGGGCTGGTTTCTCTCTGGGGCCTCGCTCAGATGCTGCTCTCTATGTTTCAGATGCAGATGGAAACCTGTGTCGAAGTAACCAACTGCTGCAAGTCATGCTGACCATGCATCGAGTTATCATTTCCTCTGCGGAACTGCTCCAAAAAGTGATCGCCCTATATCCTTTCAGCAGACCCGCTGGTAGTCCCCAGAAGGAGTGCTCAAGAGTAGCTGGAAATCAGAAGTATGCTTTTATTTTTATTGGTTTGGAATAATCCTGAGTGGTAAATAGATTCACATGTCACACGTCCTTTCAGGGACATGGTGTGTGTGTGTGTGTGTGTGTGTGTGTGTGTGTGTGTACATGTGTATGTGTACCTTCAGTTGGGCAGGGCAATGCTATTGATGCTGATTACTCTGGGAAGTAGTCAAAGAAATCAGCATGCAAACAGTCCTCTCTGGCTAGTGACAATACTTTTCTTGTCGATTCATCCAACTTCACAGTTGCCTGTGCAGATTGACAAGGGTGCAAGCATGACTCAAGTGATGACATGCATTCAGTAACCAACGCTGCAAGTCATGCTGACCATGCACCGAGTTATCATTTCCTCTGCGGAACTGCTCCAAAAAGTGATCGCCCTATATCCTTTCAGCAGACCCACTGGCAGTCCCCAGTAGGAGTGCTCAAGAGTAGCTGGAAATCGGAAGTATGCTTTAATTTTGATTGGTTTGGAATGATCCTGAGTGGTAAATGGGTTCACATTGTCACACGTCCTTTCAAGGGCATGGTGTGTGTGTGTGTGTGTGTGTGTGTGTGTGTGTACATATATGTGTATGTGTACCTTCAGTTGGGCAGGGCGATGCTATTGATGCTGATTACTCTGGGAAGTAGACAAAGAAATCAGCATGCAAACAGTCCTCTCTGGCTAGTAACAATACTTTTCTTGTCGATTCATCCAACTTCACAGTTGCCTGTGCAGATTGACAAGGGTGCAAGCATGACTCAAGTGATGACATGCATTCTGGCTTTCCTGACCAATTCTGGAACCTTCCCCAGGTTCTGGCCAAGGCTTCCTGGTGCCGCAGCAACTGGAGTCTGCTGGTGCCTTTTGCTGCAGGCAGCAAACCCAGCTGGACTGTAACCTTCTTGTGGGGTGTGAACCGAGTAGGGTGGGGAATTGCCTGCCCTCTCCCTCTCGCTGATGGCACTGTAAGCTGTGGCCTCCAAAGAGAACCTGTGGGTGGGGTGAGACTGTTTAGCGCCCGAAGCCCAGGTCCCCAGCTCTGAGTCATGACTTGCAGCTCTTCTCATCTTCACCACCTCTCCCGACCCTACCTTTTCATCTTATGACAGGCGCGCGTGCACATACACACACGGGCACGCACACACACACACACACACACACACACACACACCCATACCCATCAGGACCAAATCTCTTTTCTAAACCCACTTATATATCTTTTTTAAAAAACAATTCTTTATTTTTGAAAGTATTACGTATGTCCCCCTTGTTCCCCATTGAACCCCTCCAGCCCACCCCCACTCCACTTATATATCTTTACCTCCCCTCTCAAAGGAGGTGTCTCCAGTGCCTTCCAAGGGCGGGGCATTGGGAGGGGTTCACGTCATAAGAGGTGCAGGTAATAAGTAGTGTCTCGTCTGCAGAGAATTTTAAAACCATAATAAAACCAACTCAGAGTTGGTCTGCTTTTTATTAACTCCATGTACCAGCAATTCTAAACAGTGCCAGGGATGAAGTATTTCTCACTGGGAAAATTGTTTGTTGGTCTAAGGACTACATCGTACCTGGGATGCCCACCCACACAGCGAATGGACGCCTCTCCCTTCCCGCCTTGCCTGCCCCTGCTCACAGGATCTACCCCATCAGTACCTTCCCGCTCCTGCACTCTTAAACTGCCTCGTCAGTGGCACCTGCCCCTCAGCCTAAAACACATCGAAATGCCTCCAACCTAAAAATAAACTCTCAGCCCTGCCTCCCCTTCATTCCATTGTTAGGGTTAGAAATTTGATGCACAAACTTCTTAAAATAGTCTGCACCCACTATCTCCAATCTCTCAGCTCCCTCCCACTCCTAATTCAACCGTGGCCCCCACCCCTGCGCTCGAACTTTCCTCTGATGTCACCAGCAACGTCCCAATGGCTTTTTTCCATCCTAGTTTAGGGTGACCTCCCAGAAGCCCTGGGCACTGCTGACACGCCTCCCTCTCCAAACCCGCCCTCCAGGGCTCCGGAATGCACCTTCCCGGCTCTCCTTCCTCCCAGCACCCCTCCAGCTTCCCACCCAGCACCTTCTCTGAGGGCCTCTGAACTCCCGGGTAGCATCCTCTTGTGCTCTCACTCCTGTTCCTTCCCTGGGCGGCGTCTTACCGGGATTTTCACCACCATTCCTCTGTGTTGATGACTTTCGAGTCTGTATTTCTCTAACCCAAGCCATTTCTTTAAAAAGTTTGGACTAGTTAAGACATCAATTTTAATATGTTCAAAACTTAACTCACCACCCTCTCTCCCCAACTACCACCCCGTTAACTCTGCTTTGACACCTGTATTTTCATTTTCAGTTTCAGTTAATGGTGTCATCACCCGCTCAGTGGCCTAAACCACATCAGAAGCACCCTGCACTCCTTCCTGCCTCTCACCTCCTTCCGGCCGTCACCCAATCCCAGGGTTTTGACTTCAGAAATGACTCTCATCTGGTCTCTCCTCTGCATTTCCATGCCATGGCCGGCCATAGTCCCAGGGTCTTCTCACCTATGTGCCTTCTACCCCCTCCCCCCCACCATTCGTTGTCATCCTCTGAAGTTACTTTCCTGAGAAGTGGGGTAACCTTTGCTTCAGAGCCTCTGCCCACTAGGGGAGGTGACATCAGACCCCTCGGTTGCCAGGAGACGGCCCTCCAGGGTCTGACCCAATTCAGTGTCTCTCCTGCTTTGTCCTGCAGCTCCCAGAAACCCTTTCCCGCCCAGCCAGTGTGGCTCAGCAGTTGAGCATGGATCCAGGAACCAAGAGGTCACTGGTTTGATTCCTGGTCAGGGCACATGCTCAGGTTGTGGGCTCCATCCCCAGTAGGGGTGTGCAGGAGGCAGCCAATCGATATTTCTCTCATCGATGTTTCTATCTCTCTCTCTCCCTTCCTCTCTCTTTTAAATAAAATAATAATAATTTTTTTTAAAGAAACCTTTTCCCCTCCACACTGAGCTTCTCAACGCCCCGACTGTCACGGGTCCTCACCCAGTTCCTGGGCCTCAAGGGCCTTTTCCTCGCTGCAAGCCTAGCAAATTCTTTCATGACCCTCAGTGAAATCTTTTCTGACCTTCCCACTCCCTCCCCCTTGGGAAATACATCTAGTGCTTTAAAATAGTGCCGTTGATGTGAAAACATATTTCATTCCCGTGACTCTTGTTTTGTATCACCTAGGTGGTCAGTGTCTCTCCCGTGTCTGCCTGGCTGTCATCTGCCTTGAGGGGCTTTTCATTCTGTTCTGTTAGCTAAATACATCGATCTGCCTAAGCTTTAGTTTGTAAGTTTTGAAATGTAATACCTGTATTCTCTGGTATTTATAGATGACATTTAAGGAAAACTCAAAACTTTTGTGTCTAGTTGCTGTAGTTTGAATTGTGTTAGTAATATGGAATTTTGCAAGGGTGCTGAAAAATTAATTAAATTACAAGTTACTTTAAGACAAGATAGGTATAGTTTTAACCTATGTACACACACCATATTGTAACTTAGCTATTTACGAATTGTCTACCCCAGGAAACTGTGTGTCCCCTCGAGGGCAGGAACCAAAGGCATATTTATCTTTGTTTCTCTAGAACTTAGCTAAGTGGCCATCTCATGGGAGGGCTCGATGAATGTTGCACTGTCGTGGATGCAAAACACTGAGATACTTTTTCTGTATCTGTCAGGACCTTAGGTGAGAAACCTGGGCTTTGCTCAAGTCTGGGGTCGGGGGAGGGATTCTAAGAAGGGAATATGAAGTAAGATTTCCCGTCATTGAAACCCAGGTTAAACATTGAAGGCAAAACTATTTTGTCTTCACAGTTCGTTTCCCTGTTCTGGCTTGGAGGTAATAGAATTGTTAATAAAATAAGCTCAGATGGCTTCTTGCTTTTCCATTGTTTAAAAAAAGAGAAAAAAAATTAAAACATGCTTTGAATAGTTCAGATGCCTGAAGAGCACAGTCAGAACTGCCCTGGTACTTCCCAGGCACAGGACTGGCCGCGAAGGGAAGGAAGTCAGGTTGGGCCTGAACTGTCAGCAACAGGGACGTTTACTAGGTCGCAGGCTCCCAAGCCTCTTGCTGCTGGCCTTGTCATCAGCACTGGCTTCCAGCTCCTCGAGTGAGAAAGCGGGTGCCCTGCCTCTGCTATGCATCGGGGCTCTGATGGCCTTGGGAGGCTCTGCCATCTTGCCTGGCATCCCGCATGCCCACAGCGGCTCAGCCCCTGACTGCAGGCCACTGGGTTTGCAGACGCTACCCGCCCCGCATTTGAAGAGGATAAGAAACCACCAGAGGAAGATAAACTCCACATAAAGGGCACTATGTTGATTTCTATGTCCATTTAGTTGTCTTAAAATAGATGGGTTTCTGTGCCTTCCTTACTAAAAAGGAAGAATAAAAATTTCAACAAGTTGGTCAAATAATTCAAATATAGAATCTAAGACATACCTATCTAAAATGTGCCTTATGCGTGAACCTCTTTGTGTTCAGGGGATGCATTTTCTTAGCGATGTGGCATTATGACATGTAAAGTCATCTCATTTCCACTCCTACCTTTTAGGCCCAAAGAAAGGCAGGTGTCAGAACCTGTTACTTCATGAAGTTTGCCAGTTGGCTGGGCTTATTTTAATTTTTATTTCATTTGTTGATGTGGGTGTAGTTTTGTTTTGGTGCCGTCAAAGACAGATTTTATATGCAGTAAATCTATTAAAATATGTTTTTAAAATTAATTTTGTTGAAAGTACAAATTTCACAACCATAGTTTTTCTTTAGGGACGCGGTTTTAGCTCACAAGTCGTATTCTTTCTGTAAGTCTCTCATGTTCCACCAAATCTTTTTAAGGGGCCTTGAAAATTTTTTGGTTAATTTGGAAAATGCTAATTAAATACTCCCGATGGTTTTTAACAATTATGAATTTTACACTTTAGTTTATTTTTAAAGATTTCAGAGGCTTCCCTGAATTCGAAATAATTTTTATAACTCTAGTAGATTAAAGTTATAAACAGGAAAGCTAATACTATCTTAAATGCTCCAAAGCAGTGGTTCTCAACCTTGGCTGCACATTAGAATCACCTGGGAATCTTTTTAAAATCCTGATTTCTGGGCCCCATCCTCCAGAAATTTTGTTTCTTTGTTATGGGGTGGGGCCACAACATTAGTAACAAAGAAACAGAATTTCCGGAGGATGAGGCCCAGAAATCAGGATTTTAAAAAGATTCCCAGGTGATTCTAATGTGCAGCCAAGGTTGAGAACCACTGCTCCAAAGCAATGCATAAACTTAATAAGGTTTCAATTTAAAACCACAATTAATTATATATTCCAAATTGGAGTTTCCATGCTACCATTCTAATATACTCTTAAACTTTACAGCCATATAAAATCTCAAAACGCACAGATGCCTTCCTAATAAAAACATCAATAATATGATTTTGACTGTCTTTACTTTGCTGTAGTTGACTCTTGAGTTTTGCAAGGGTTACAGTGTGCGCTCCCACTGAAAGAAGGCCGCTTCGGTCCTGGATATTTGAGATCTCTGCTGGCTTCTCCCTGGTTTCATCTCGGGGGCCCGGCTGCAGGTCACTGGGACCTGCATTGCAGTTATTATGGCACAGTTTTTCCATGAGAAAGAGGTCAGAGTCTTGCAGGGCACACAGACTACGCGGCCTGCTTGCTCATTCTGTTTGCGGAAGATGGTAGGGCCTGCCCAGGTTCATCACTGGATTGGATTTTGCATTTCTTTTAAGTGAATATTCTTTCCATCTAAGCTTTAGAGCAGCAACTTTCAACCGATGTGCTGCAAGAATTTTTAAAACATGCAATACCTGACTATTTAGTTAGGAGCTCTGACTTCTGTTTCCTTAGATTGTCAAACAAAAAAAATGACAACAGCCAACACAATAATTGTCCAGTGTGAATGAATTAAAACTATACCTCTTTATTTGTCAGATTGGCAAAAAATATATTTTTTGGTGTACTGCAGAATTTTAGTAATCAGTTAATGTGTACCATGAGATGAAAAATGTTGACAATCGCTGCTCTTCAACATGGGAACTTGATGGAATCTGCTATTCTTTCATATTCTTAGGATGGCACCATTTCATGGAATATTCCAGATGATATGGATCCTTAACATGTCTCTGATTGTATTTTGGCTTTATTCACATTATTCACATGGCTTTGTCCGACTTGCCATCCAACTTACAAGGTCAACCTACTAACATCCTCTAGGCATATATTATCATTTTGCTATTATTGTCATGACACTATATCTGAATATTTATTCCTTCCCCCTCTCCTCTAATTCACGGCACCAGTTGTTTATCAGTTACTAGAAGCATCGTAAAAGATGAGAAGGAGCTGCTCTCTTTAACTGGTCTCATTGGACTCCTGGTCTCCTGGTCCCGGGCAGGAGGTCATTGCCCCTCTGGCACTTCTTATAGTCACCTGCGCGGGGCTTTCCCTGCCATGGACTTCCTAGCTCTACTTCTGCAGAGGAGATGCGGTGGCCTCCTCCCACCGCCATTTCAGCGTGAGCTAGATAGTCCCCACGCCACCCTTGTAGATGATAATAACATACAGCCGCACACACCAAGTTGGTTTTTATCTATGGGGAGAGATAAGAATACATTTTCATTTGAAATTTATTTTGGGAGGGGGTTGGTTTTAGCAAACACTTCCACAGATGAGAAGCTGTTTGGTTGCTGTCGCAGAAGCTCCATTTGCCTTAACCACAGCCCACGTATAAGGACGCCTGGGCCAAGAAGTCACCAGGGCTGTGCCTGAAGATCTGCTACTTCGTAAGGTGAGGTTTCTGCATGCATGTGGGTCTGTGTGGCCTGGGGTGACACGAAAGACTGAAGCAAGGTGATCTAGTTCTTCCTCATGCCCCTGCCTTCCCCTTCCTGACGTCTTTCTGTGGATCACCTCCAGGCAGCCTGGAAGGGCAGTCGGTACTGGAAATGGAGCACAGCTCGTTTTTCCTGGTGTGCCTGAGCTTAATGTTTTATACCAAGGCTTTCCTCAGTCCTACAGTATTTTGGTATCAAACGACATGGGAAGAGGTTATCTTGTTTGTTTTTAGTCTGAATCATAAAAGTAATATAGCTCATATTCGTGCATTTTGAAAATACAGAAAAGAATTTGACTATAGTAATAAGCACTCATATCCAACTACCTGTTTTGGCATTTTTCCTTTGTGTGTTTTCCCAAGCAGATTTTTTAATCATAGCTGAGATTAAAAAACATATAAAGTTTTCTATCCTATTGTTCTCACTTAACTTTAATATCATTGAAAATGTCTTTAGTCATGAAAAACTTTTGTAAGTATTATTTTTAATGGCTACATAATAGTCTGAGACCTGACTATTTACAGTGTAATTTACAGACACATGCCCATCTTGGGCCATCGGCTTGTCTGTAATTGTCTTATTTATGATTATCTCTGATGCGCATGGCTGTGCCTAGACCTGCCATGGCTATGAGACACCTTATCCTGTCCAAGCCTTCAACACGAGGAGGGGCAGAGAGCTGCAGACAGGCGGTCTTCTTCCCTCCCACTCCCCGGCCCCCACTCGTTATGCTCTATGTTAGGAATATATATTCCATGTTCCCAGGAATAGAGAAGGGCAAACCCACCTGTCTTTTTGTCAGTCCTCTTTGAGGGAAGAACCCGCTAAAGTGACCCTGGCCTTCGGTTCTGGCTTGTGTTCTAACCCCCGCCGTGCAGGTACTGGATAACGGAATTCTGGACCATGTTTAAAATGGATGCCAGCTTGACAAACACCATGGAGGAGTTTCAGGAACTGGTGAAGGCTAGTGGGGAGGAGTTACACTGCCGCCTGATCGACACAACTCAAATGTGAGTGCCAGGGTGTGGAGGCATCTCTGTTCCGCTGGCCCGGACGCCAGGCTGTGGCTGCGGCTCTGCCGCTGGGAGAGGCCCCTCGGATAGGCAGGTTCAAACCACCTCCCCAAGGTGAAAAGCTTGACATTTGACAAGTAAGCAGAGACGCCCCTGGTGATGAAGCTGTGGGTGACTAATACTCACGAGCAGGAACAATGTAAGACCCAGTCAAAAAGCAATCAGGTAGCAAGACAGTGACTAAAACGTGTCCAGGTTGTGAGAAACTGAAAGCACAGTGACTAAATGCACGCTAGACGGCAGCTAATGCTTGGAGGCCCCTGAACTTGAAAATGGGGGACTGCTGACAATGTATTGAACAGAGGGCGTCTAGCATGTGGAGTCTATGAAAGACACGTAGACTTCGGGAGCTGGGAGAGATCGCAGGGATATTTCCCATTACTTCTGGGATTTATTTATGAGGTCAACCCACTGTGGAAATATGGCAGGGGAGGGTGCACACATTGCATACTGAAATTTTCAGAGTGGCCACTTTATTTCACAATAGTGCAGATCCTTAGAATATAGAATTCTGGAACTGAAAGGAATTCTAGAGATCGTTTCATCCAAAATCCTAGGAAACAGACTCAGCAAGGTTGTCTGGCTCGTCTGGGGTCACACAGCATGCTAAGCTAGTGGCCGGACACAATCTCAGTGCACTGGGTCACAGCCGCGCAGAAATGTAAACGTCACATGTCATAGTCCCCAATAAATCAACTTGTCACTTTGGATTCCCTGTACCTCTACTTAGAATAATACAACTCAAAAGATAGAAGAGATTTTCAAGTAACAATTTCCTCATTTTAGAGATGCAGAACCTAGGCCCCAGGGCACTTCTCAAACCCTAATCTCCTTGTCCCAATATACAGCCTGTGTGACTTTCCTCTACCAATATTTCCCACAGTCTGCTCTTTAGGAATTAGTCAGTGAGATATAGCCTGACCAGGTATATGTGAGAAATAGTGAGTTAAACTTGCAAAGTTTGCAGTGCATCTCAGAGTCTGTAATATGCTCGTTGGACAAGGGCTGCAGAATTTGTAGCATCTCCCAAACTCATTTGACCAGAGAACCCTCTGAAGAGACAAGGTTCTCAGGAATAGCAGTCTGGGAAACACACATCTGCAACCTGCACCTCTCAAACGGCTTTTCCCCTTTGCTTCCTCACTGTAGGAAACACGCTGAATCAGAATACATGGGTTGGTTACAAGAAAATGGGGGGAGGGGGTTCTAGGCTCTCTCGGGGACATCAGCTGGGGAAGTGGGGGAAAATGCCAGCAGTCACTCAGTGTTCCTCCCCATGACCCCCTGCAGCACGACATCTCCTCGCCATGGTCCTCTGTACCCTCCCAGCATGAAAACTACCCTCCCACCTTGAGATTTCCAACCAGTTAGAGTCCCTGTGACCCTTATGAGGATGATGGGACACCGAGCAGGCATGGAGAGAGCAGGCGTGCCGGGACTGAAGACCAGGAAACTGGGGCCAGTGCTTGAACCCTATTTCCCACGGCCTTAAACACCTTTTCCCCAGTTCCCATGTGCATTCTAAAGGCTCACAGGAAACCAGCCAGGCTTCCTAGTTGCTGCCATAGAAAAAGTTGATTTGGGAAAACTCTGTTGATGCATTGTTTTGGCCAAGGAAAGTGAGCTAATGGTTCTTTGTATATTCTCATGCAAAACTGGACTGACTTGTATTCAAAAGCAATTTTGATGTATTCTTTTTCCCTATCTTCTCTCTTTCACGTTTACCCACAAAAGCAATGCCCGTGACTGGTCCAGGAAACTTACTCAAAGGATAAAATCGAACACCAGCAAGAAACGGAAAGTTTCCCTGCTCTTTGACCACCTGGAACCAGAAGAGCTGTCGGAGCACCTCACCTACCTGGAGTTTAAGTCCTTCCGGAGGATCTCCGTATGTACCCAAGGGGCAGGAGAAAGCTCCCCCAGGGCATTTCTGAACATAAGCAGAGAAATATAGCAGCCTGTCTACCTCCGAACCCCAGAGGCCCTCGGTGCTGGTGGGCCTTCCCGTTAGACTCTGTACCATCCAGAGAACCAGTGCTCTGAATTCCTGGGCGGTCTCTCCCCCTCCATCCTCCATGCCCACCCCACCCCCAAGAGACAATACAGTGGGCATACATGTATATGTGAGTGTGTACACACACACACACACACACACACACACACACACACACACACACACACTTTTTAACCCTGTGTCATTAGGTTGCCAGAAATTTTATTTTTTCATTTTCCTCCCCCCAAAATGGAGATATCCTCTAAGACTTTGAGTTCATTCTAGGGTAGGTCTGAATGGCTGTGGGACATGCCAAAATAAAGTCGATGCTACTGGTCCAGCCCAGAATATACCTAAATCCATGAAGTGGTGCTGACATGGCCCAGCCGTCACTGATGATTCTAGAGATAAACTTTGCTGATCCAAACTTGCTTCTTAAATCTCCATACATGATGCCAAAGATCACTGGTGCCACACGAGACATCTTGTCAACACGGCAGGTGCCAGCAGACCCTCACTGACCAATATACTTACCTGGGGAACGGCACCTTCACTCAGCCCTGCCCCTACCCCAAAATGGTCTTCAGCTTTGCTCTAAAAGTAGAGGCTGCCTAGTTGCTGGATTCGTTTCTTAGAGTGACCCGTGTTTCCCAGAGGGGATGGAAGCCCAGAGGGGTAGCTCAACAAGGTCACACAGCTTATTAGATTAAGAGCTGGGGCTAGAATTACATGCCTGTCTTGGTCACTCAGCACCAACTTATTGAGCCTGGTTCTATTTGTTGTTGTTTTTGGTGTGTTTCTTTTTTAATCCTCACCTAAGGATATTTTTTCTATTGATTTTTATAGAGAGGGGAGGGGAAGGGGAGAGACAGAGAGAAACATCCGAGAGAGAGAGAGAGAGAGAGAGAGAGATTGGTTGCCTCCCACACGCTCTCCAATCGGGACCAGAGATAGAGCCTGCAACCGAGGTACATGCCCTTGACCGGAAGCGAACCCAGGACGCTTCAGTCCATGGGCGACACTCTAACCACACTAGCCAAACCCACTAGGTAGAGCCTGGTTCTATTTGAAGAGTCCTGCAACCAGATGACAGAGGTTATTTCATCTTTCCTCCCATAATGTTGACATCTGTTTTCACACAGCAGTTTGCCCAGCCAGCCAGGAACCTCCCAGCTCCCTTTTGGAAATTAGTCTCCCAGCGGGACTCTGCACTGGCCCCAGCCCCCTCACGGCACCCCTGACAGAACCAGGGGACTTGCTGGGAGGCCCCATCTGGGGAGTTTCCATTTGGCGGTGCCTTCCCGTCACAGGAGGGACGCTGAAAGGAGCCATTCTCACACTGAAAATTTGCGCTGCTCTGGGGCCCAGCTGGCAGGAGCGGGAAACCCGTGCAGAACAGGGACGCTAAGCCCGTGCTCCCAAGGGCCGCAGTGCTGTTTGCAGAGCAGCACATCATTTGGAACCTTCCTGGCTTGAATGGTACAGTCCCTCCAGCAGTTTCCCCTCCGACATGGGACCAGAGGGAGCTGTCTCCCTGCTGTGAACTGATGGCATTTGATATTTCCTGTTTATTATAATACTTGGGGGGGGGGGGGAGATTACTGGGATAATTCTTTTAAAAAACAAGTAAATTTAGTGTTGTATTTATAGTGAGAGGAATATATAAATGAATTCACTGGAATGAGTCACGGGAATTTTCTGTTAGAACCAGTAAGATTTTTGCTCCGTGTGTGTCTCCTAAGGAGTAGTTTTGGTCCTACTCAGAGTTTTCGCCCTGTGAGTAAGCTCAGCACAGTGAAATAGGGCTCTGCTCACTTGCATTATTTTATTTAGGCTGTGTTTCTCATCCGTGTATTCCTAGTCAGGCGGGACTAACATATACTGAAGTAACCCCCAGCTCCTCTCCCACAATCCCAGTGGCTCGACAAAGCGAAAGTGTCTTTCACTCACACGACATATGTAACATGGGTCGCACAGGGATGCAGATGTGGAAGGCTTCACCTTTACACAGCTTCTGCAGCTGTGGGCTGGCAGCAAGGCGGATCGCTCAGTGGCTCTTACACCTTTCCCTCAAAAGTCCCCTCACTTCCCCTCATGCTGCTGGCCGCACTGTGAACACATGGTGAGCAGTGCCAACTCGCCCAGAGGAGCACTGGAGCGGGCAGACGCCGCCTGCCTTTGGGTGTCCTATTGAGCAGGACTGTTTGGGACAAGGACACGATAGCTACAGTCACCACCTCTACAGCGGTCTTCTGGCGCATCTGCTTCACATATGCTGTTTGATTGTCAACCAGTCAGTACTATTGTCCAGCTGGGAAACTATGGTCATGGAATTAGCTAACCAGGTTTCATGTACCCAACTCACTTGGCCTCTGTTCAAGTTCAAATTAAATTCAGGCAGGTTTGTTTCAGCATGAAGGTAGTAATTACCCTATTAGCACCACCTCACATTGATGTAGCACTCGGAAAAGTTAAAGTTGTTTTATACCTTATCATGTTTAATCTTCATGACAATTTCATGTGCTAGATAGAGCAGATGTTATCATCCCACTCTTAAGGTAAGAAAACAGCTGGCGGAGAGGGAGAGAGGTAGGAGAGAGGATGGAGAGGGAGGAGTAAGTCTTGTGAATTCCTTTTTTCCCCTTAACTTCAGCAGCAGAGGTCGGATTAGTCCTGAGATTTTTCTTCTATTCTTTAGAATTTGGAAGTACCAATATCTACCCAAATACAGTATTTGAATTAACTCATGTGTTGGATGAACTAGTCCACATCCATGTAAGCCTAATGACTTTTGGTATAGAGACCATGCTGTGGGTAGATTTCCTCCCCACCATTTTTGTCAGCCAAGTAGAGGACATACAGGAGAGGTGGGCTCCTGGGTCCCACAGCAGGTTCGAGCCATCAACTGAACAGAGGCGACATGCCCCTCAGATGCCTCAACACCAGAGCAGCGTCCTGATGCGGTCCTTTCCCCGCAGTTCTCCGACTACCAGAATTACGCGGTGAACAGCTGTGTGAAGGAGAACCCCACCATGGAGCGGTCCATCGCCCTGTGCAACGGCATCTCCCAGTGGGTGCAGCTGATGGTGCTCAGCCGCCCCACCCCGCAGCTCCGAGCTGAGGTCTTCATTAAGTTCATCCAGGTGGCTCAGGTGAGTGGCGGAGTCAGAGTGTGGCCCGGGCTGAGATGAAGTTTCCCCTCCTGAGCCACAGTGGGGTTAGTGTCCTTCAACTGTCCTGAGGTCTAGGTATGGCAACTTCTCTGGTTCCCACACAAGGGCACTATGGAGAGGACCATCTCAGGGCTCGGGATACAGTTTTAGATGTTTAGATATTTAACATTTCTTAGAAGGTGCTTCCCAGCCTCCATGGTCTTCTCAAATCTGGCCCCCATGACAAAGGAAAGGGCAAGTCCAAGTTTTCCTGGGGCTGGAGTTGTCTTGGGTCCTTAAGCCCACACTGTTAAATGTCTAAGCTGAGTGTTCGAAGGGCAGCATATAAGTATTTGGTAAGAGGAACCGGTACACTAAGTCCTCACTTAATGCCGTCAATAGGTACTATGATGTATAATGAAACCAGTTTTAATAGATTGACATAAATAAATTGATTTAATAAGCTAATTGACATGGCACTTCATCAACATAATAATGAAGTGACGTTGACTGAAATGGTGCTATTCAAGGACCTACAGTTCTGTGAACACGTATTTGAAATTCCCCAGAGATTCTAGCTTCGTTGTCCCAATTACTGACCAATATAGGCACTGGCACTTTGTCCTAAGAAATAAAACAGGTTTTAGATGTTTTAATTCAGTGCGAAAGATATATAGGATTATGCTAATTTGTCCAGTACTAGATGGTGCAGTGTATCTCAAAGTTTGGTACACGGACTGCCTGCTCTGGTATTAACTAATGGGATATTAAAAGCACAGATCCCTAAGCTCAACCCCAGATCCAGGCAATCAGAACATCTGGACTTGGGTCCAGAAATCTTTGTGCTAACAAACCAGTACTTTGGGTGGTTCTTAGAAACCACGGATCCAGGTGGTCCAGGACCAGCACAAAGGGAGGGAGACATGACGCCTTGCCAGACTTGGGACCTCCTGGTCTGGATTAAGCCTCGGGGGAGAAAGGAACAGGAAATTTCAGCACCTGGTTGCTAGTGCTCGACAATGTAAGGAAGATGAGGCCCAGAGACGAGGGCGGCCTCTGAGCTCACATGTAACAGGCATGTTCAGTGACTGTCTCACCTGTTTTGTGTCACAGAAGCTCCACCAACTACAGAACTTCAATACTTTGATGGCTGTGATAGGCGGCCTGTGTCACAGCTCCATCTCCAGGCTCAAGGAGACAAGCTCACACGTCCCCCACGAAATCAACAAGGTCAGTGCTACTGTCTCTTCTGAAGCCTCAGCACATTCCTGGGACAGCGCCCTTTCCTCCTTCAGGGGGTAACCCAGGAAGCATCTGCCAACCACACCATCCCATCAACCGGGCAAAATACCAAGGAGGCAAACCCCAAGGAAACCCACGGAGACTGTGACTCAGTCTCCCTGTCGCTGCCTATGTCCCTGCTGGTCAGGTGAAATATGTGCCTCCTTCCCATGCTTATATGCCACTGAATGTTCATTTTGTTGATAAGCCTCACCAGAGGATTTTTTCCATTGATTTTTAGAGAGAGTGGGAGGGGGAGAAACATCAATGTGAGAGACATCCTGATTGGGTGCCTCCTGCACATGCCCAACCAGGGCTGGAATCAAACCCAGGACCCTTCAGTCTGAGAGCCGACACTATCCACTGAGCCAAACCGGCTAGGACTCTGTTATTGTCTTTAATACTGACTCCCTTACCCAGAATATTTTCCCCAAAGGACCAGTGGTTCCGTCTGCATGTCAAGTACACATATGGGGGCACATTGAAACCCTGGCTCTCCAGATCCCTTGGAGTGACACTCTGGATAGTTGAATTTTTCCAGATAATTGGAAATGAGCTTTTCAGGTGCCATTGTGTAATAGTGTTCATTGAGGAATATTGTTCTCAAGTATCCAATGCATTTTCCTGTATTCTTAGATTTTACAGGGTCCATGTTAATCCTTCATAAGGCTGTTATAAATGTAAGTCACGATGGTATCCCGAAGGCATCAGTGCAGCTGTGTGGTGTGAATTAGATAATGACTGCGCTTTGAGCATTTTCACCTATTTAAGACCAACCCTCCCTTCCTAAGCCCAAACCCCACTCCTCCCAAGCTGGTTCGGAGACTCTCTTCTTAGGGAGAGGCATCTGTGCCTCATGGCCTCATCTGCTTTCCCAGGTGTTCAGCCTCCTTTTGGGGGTCTCCAGTTAATCACCCCTGCTCTCAACGCTTGGCTGTGAGGACGCTGACTCAACCCCTACCCATGGTCTGGTCACCTCATAATTCCCTAAGAGTTCTGCTGAGACCAGCCCATGTCTGAGGTGACAGAGGAAAGCCACAGAGACTAACATGCCTTCGTGTCATTTCATTTATAAGATACAAGCTCGCTCCTCTTCAGCTCGGGGTCCCCACACCAGTGCTTCCTGCCTGTAGCTGCTGGCCCCTCAGGATGGTCTGCATAATCAGTTAAGTCCAGCTTAAAGCAAGTGTCCCCCAGGTGTTTATTTCACCTTCCAAGGAGAACATAAATATATTATTTTGCTGTTAGTCTGTTAGTCTCTCATCTGTGAGCACCTTCCCTACTCACACGCCCCTGCACTGTTTGCTAGAGACGTGTGAGGGAGAGCTGCCAGCTCAGTTGCTGACGGAGGCTAATCCAGAACCCCAGGCTCTTCACTGGAGGAAAATGGTACTACTTAGGCCACAATTTTATTAAAAGAATCTGTGGCACAGTGTTTAAAAAGGTCGTTTTCTGTTGTAACATGGTTGGCAGACAGTCTTTACTTCCCGTCTTTGCTTCTGAGAAAGCTGGTCAGCACAAGTGGGGAACGGGGTTCTGTGAACGGCTGGCTGACCTGCGCCAGGCGTGTCAGAAAAGAACCCCAGGCCGGCTGCTGCCTTTTGTGCTGGTGAGCGGCCCTGCCCCTTCCAGGGCGAGGGAGGGGTGGGTCCTCGGCCTCATCCTCTGCCTGTCCTTTCCTGGGAATTGGTCTGGTCTATTCAGTCTGTCCGGGTCAGAGTTTCAGTGGGCAGATGGAATGTCACCTGCTTCCTAGACAAAGGCCCGTGTTGAGAGTCACTGAGAGGAGGCCCAGAGCGCAGCAGGAAGAGTAAACTGTGCAGGAGACCGAGGCTCTGGCGCTCTCCCCCGGCCAGCAGCACTGCGGCACGTCCAGGACCACATTCCAAATGTTAAACAATGTCCTTCTGCTCTAGGACTCGGAAGACACTGGGGAAAAGAAATGCGAGGCTTAGGGACAGAGGTCAGAGGGGCACATTAGTCTCTGTATACTCTTGTACCTTTTTAACTTTATATCAGGTGCTTATGTTTTTTTTAAAAGAAAAACTTTAGTGTAAAAGCAATAAATAAGACTTTATTTAAAGTTTTCCAGTTATGTTGCAGAATCAACTAAAGCACACCTGTGTTTGTAAATACTCTGAGCCTTTTGACATAAGCTGGAGTTTTAATTGGGGATCATGATCTGCACCTTTTAGATGAATCACCCCTTCCCCACAGATTAGGAGTGGGGTGCAGTCATGGTAGAGGCTGAAAGCAGACAAGGTGGCTACTGCAGACAATACAGCCTGCCTGGCAGGTGCAGTGATGGGGTCTCCTTTTCCGCTTTTTAGGTCCTGGGTGAGATGACTGAGCTGCTGTCCTCCTGCAGAAACTATGACAACTACCGGCGAGCCTATGGGGAGTGCACCCACTTCAAGATCCCCATCCTGGGGGTGCACCTCAAGGACCTCATCTCCCTGTATGAAGCCATGCCCGACTACCTAGAGGATGGGAAGGTGAACGTCCACAAGCTGCTGGCCCTTTACAATCATATCAACGAACTGGTCCAGCTGCAGGAGGTGGCCCCGCCCTTGGAGGCCAACAAGGACTTGGTGCACCTGCTGACGGTGAGGCTCGCCTGGGAGACGATGACCAAGCACTGTGTGTGCCAGGCATCACTCTCCGCACCTTACCAAACGTTAGTCCAGTTAATCCTCATACAAACTAGGACGTAGATACTGCTATTATTCTCTTTTTATGGATGGGGAAACGGAGGCACAAAGACACAATTTCCCGGAGGACCAGACATTAATAAGCAGCAGAGCTTGGACTCAGACCCAGGAGGTAGGACCCCGGCAGCTGTCCTCTAAAGCAGCATTGCCTTTCTGACTCCTGGAAATGTTCCCCTCTTCCTGCAAAAACAGTCAGCCCTCAAGCTCTCTGGGAGGAGCTGAGAGCAAAGCAGGATACAGGCTTGGTAAGAGATGGGGACTAAACAGGTTCACTGTTTGGATTCCTGTTCCTGGAGGTGTTCGAGCTAAGGAGAGGCAAACACTGGTGCAAGGACCAGGACTTGCACTTCAGGTGCAGGGGGAGGGCAGGTGAACTCCCTTCCAGCCCAGCGGTTCTGTAGCTCACCAGCGGTGTGACTGTGGGCACCTAACTCCAAATCCTGTTTCCTCCTCTGTAAATCAGGAGGATTATTCTGTGAGATGAATTCTAACTTCGAGTTCTAAAATTATACAATTTTTAATGTGTTTTTTTGGCAGAATGGAATAATTACAGCCTCTTCCTACCTCACAGGATGATTCCAATGGGGCCTGAGCTCTGCATCCAGCTAGTGTTCTAATCCTAGCCCTTTCTCTAATGGCCAGGTGGCCTTGGTCTTGGCCTTAGACATCATCTGTGGAAAGATGTACAGAATCCTATTAGGGGGATCACAAATCCTGTGATGAAAGCTGAATGTTCTTCCCAGAAAAAAATATACATAAGCCAAGTATTTTTGAGCTTTGCACCTCCTGAAGCTCATCCATGGACTATAGGATCAGAACAAGATTATTTGTAAGACCTCTGTCCTCTAAAATGTTCAAGCTCTAATAAATATGAAATTTATTAACTCTGAATATGGTTTAATTAATACCATTATTTAAACTGGGTTCTGGTGCAAGAACCAAATTTTAATAGTATCAGACCACACAAATTATCCTTTAAGATCATCTGTCTGTCTGCTTTGGGGAAGAACAAGTGAGGTATGGACCATTTGACCACACAGCACCTAAATTCTACATAAAGGCTTACAGATAAAACTGTCATTTAAATGAGGGCATCTTGAGACTTGTCCAAAATTTAAAAACATTTTAACAAAAAAGAATTAATGCTTGCCCCATTGCCCTACTGAGAATTTTAAAAACAAACTACTAAGAGCCTAGAAGAGTAAACCACCGGAGAGGAAGAAGCAAGAGAGAAAGAAATACAACATCCTAGCAGGTAACCCTGTTGTTTTGATCCACAGTTATCCCTCGATCTCTATTACACTGAGGATGAAATCTACGAGCTCTCCTATGCCCGGGAACCAAGGAACCACAGAGCCCCCGTGAGTTTTCCTATTACGATTCTTGCAGGTAACAGGATCGGCCTTTTAGTTCAATTTTATAAGAGTATTATGTGTCTCCTTTGTGCCCAAACCTGTGCGAGGCACAGAGAAAACTTCCACGTGTGTGAGGAACAGTTCCTGACCAAATAGTCCTCTTGAAGGGATAACTAATGTGTGAACAGTAAATAACCAAACACCGCAGAGCATCAGATTGCATGGGGGAGTTGGCCAGTGGTTTGCAGATTAGAGATGGGAGAGAATACTGTGGGACAGAGGGCCCTCGCCCTCCTATGTACTATAAAGTGGCCCATCAGTTTCCCTCCTGTGATTTGTTGATAAGAATGTGAGCCATATGCGCACTCTCAGAAGCTAACTTCGGAGGATTTCTAGCTTGGTAGACAGGAAAAGCCCCATCACTCTGCAGTCACCTGGGTCAGAAAGAGCAGTCTACTAAGTTTTTTGACCCACTGTGCAGAGAAGACCTCAAACAGCACAGAGCTAGCGCTACCCAGTCCAAACATACCAGGTTCTCTGGCCCCGCCTCTCCTACAGACAGGTTTAATTATTCATCTTCCCTCTGAATGACCAGCAACTCCCCACAGTGGTACTCTTCCCTTGAGTACCACTTCCCAAAACAAGTGGTACTCAAGGAAAGATTTGCCCCCACAGAAGAAATTCAGCTTACCTGTGGCTAAATTTCATTGTATCTATACAGAAGTGCAAGTTCTAGCTTCCTATTGTAATTAACAATGTTCACTGAAAATACCTGATTCCATTTTCAGAATCTTAGAAGGCATTTCAATGGAAAGGGTACCTTCTCCTGTTTTTAGAAGAGCTTTTAATTTGGACCAAGTCTTAAATACTTAGAATGGATTTCATCTCAGCTTGTCTATGCACCTTCCTGCCTTTTAGCTATTTTTCCTCCTCATCCTATCTCTATTAAGTAGCCAGTAGAGAACAGAGAGGAAATTTAAGTGATCCACTTTACTCTTTGTTGATAGCTTTGACAAAAGGTTTAGATGGAGATGATGTATGTGAGGAGCGTATTGTAAACAGTAAAACATGCTGCTTGTGTAAGCCACGATTACTGTTCTTTCAGTATGTGGGCTCTCTGCTCCCTGCCACAGGCATAGTTGGGGGTCATCTGCAGCCGGCAGGTGGTTGCAGCCTCAGGTAGTGGGAGAGGAAGGAGCTGTGGATTATACTGCATTATAGTCATGGGGATCTCTTTGTCTTATTTCATTTCAGCCACTAACACCTTCAAAGCCACCAGTAGTAGTGGACTGGGCCTCTGGAGTATCTCCCAAACCTGACCCAAAGACTATAAGCAAGCACGTCCAGCGGATGGTGGATGTAAGTACAGCTTTCACCAGACAAAAGCAAGACACTGCCTGGCTTCGTTTTGTAT